ATACAAAAATGATAAGCAACAGCTAAAAAGTAAACGTAAGTAAACAGCCAGAAATAGAACCAGGGCTTTCGGACAACACTAGTCCTTCCTCGGTGGCAAGTGAGTGAGGGTTGAAAAAGCCAGATAGTATAAAGGGAGAATTTCATGCAAGCATGATTAGAAACAATAGGCTAGGTGGGATTAAAATATAAACATACTTTCACAATTGTCGCCAATGTAGTTAGTCAAGCAGGCGCATTCGTAGCCAGTGTCTGTAAAACTACACGTGCCTCCGTTTTGACAAGGTGTGTTATCACAGGGAGTGACCTCTAAAATATATATAAAAAATGTTTTTTGAGTTTTATTACAATATATTTACGGTGATGAGAAATAGGTATAATTCCTATTAAAACAGTGTGAAAGATAATTTATCCTAAATATGAAAAATAATAATATAGGCAAACACTAAGAATACCTAAAGTAGTAAACTACAGTATAAGCTTGCTGCGGCCTGGTGCGTAAAGCATGGAGCTTTAAAATACAGTATCTAATTTTAGTTTGACTTTAGCACCATAATAATTCTGAAGTTTGGGATCACACGTTGCCCAGTTTGGATTGTATAGGCTTACTTTTAAAGTTATATAGACCCCCATATTTAACTTTAAATACATGGATGTATATAATATCTTGGGAGAAACCCACTGAAGTATATATTAACAAAAAACGTACATAGACAAGGTTCACAACCTATAAATAAACTTACACTAAGGACAATATTTAACTAAATGTTTCAACGACCTTGTTGCTAGTTGAGGATTTTTTCGCTTCTTTATTGAGTACCCAATTCAGTGGATATTTACTGTTTCCGCACTGGGTCATGTTATGCTTTGATAACTAAATTTCATAATAATGAGACTTAGAGAGTGGAGTTGTTTTTTGTTTTTTTAAACCTACTGTCACATGAATTGAACCAGGACCATGGGATTTGAAGGCAAGTATCTATAACAACCAAGTCATTCAACTCCACTTTTTCAATACAGGAGAGAATCTCAGTTCAACACAATCCTTTTGGTATCTTTGTTACATTCAGATACTTTACAAAAAAGTTTAGAACTATCTAGTCAATTCGTTGGAACCCGGCTATAAACTTAATTAGGATTTTCATTTTTTTAGGCTTGCTTATTTTTAGATTTTAAACTGTTACTTACAATTCATACAAGATTGTTACATAGCAATGTGAATAACATTTTGACAAAATATGATAATACTAAAATTTTCGTCTCTGCAAATTGTTTTGCAATTCATTACCTTGTTCACACAATGTTCCTTTCCATTCCTCACTACATGTGCACACAAAGTCATCCAAATTTGGATCATGATAACACACTCCACCATTTTGACATGGATCGCTATAACATGCACCAATGTCTGTAATGAACAACAACAACTGTACTATATGAAATACAAACTAATCATTATTCTAAATATAAGTTTAAACCATTTATTTATTTGTTTACTATATATCATCATCAAAATAAATAGATATCATTACTGTATATAAAATTAATAAAATATGCTTGTACTGTGTTTTAATAGTTATGAATACTTTTCCTAACTATAATATGAGTTGGTTTGTTGAAACCAAATTTACTATGAAAAGTTTTCTATAAAATCAAACGTATAGAACGTGAACAACTTAAAATTCTAGTTTTATAAGTAAGTTTGTGTTTTAAAAAAAAATTTAAGTTAGGCTACTATGATAGTTGTACTTTAATAATGTAAATATAATTACAAGTTTGACAGATTTCTCCAGTGTAAGTCATGGGACAGGTACAGGTGAAACCATCAATTGTATTGGTACAAACACCACTATTCAAGCAAGGGTCATTCATGCAGCTGTCTGTATTGATACAACAAAGTTAAAAAAAAAAAAACAATTATAAGAGCTGGTTGTTCTTATTAAGATAAATTGTTATCTAACAAAAGAAGTTATTACCTTTAAATATGCTCAAATCACAGATCAGAAAAGAAATGTTTTGTTTGTTTTGACATTTTACTACCAAAATCAGAGGGTATATCTGGTAGTAGTACTGGTATGAGCATTGCACCATTTCCTTGCGGTTATAAAGCGCATAGTTCGGGCAAAAACTGAAACAGCGGCGTAGCTTGGTGCGAAGAGGGCCCAGTGCAAGATTAATTGCCGGGCCCTTTGGTGTGATGTTGGAATTGACTAAAGTTCTCAGAAAATGCTTCTTTCACCCCCTACTCCTATAAAGGCATAGGCTAGTAATTAATACTAATGATAATCGGATTTGTAACTATTTTAAGAGATGCATATTCGGTCTCAGCATCTGTTCTAAACTAATCAAAAAATTGCAGTGGTGGATTAGGGATTGCTGATGATGACATAATTATGTCATAATAATTACGACATAATAATATGCCAAATATTGAATCCCGACATGACGGCGTGCATTTCGATATTTGGAGTATGTATTATACTATCTTATCAGAGATTAATCAGTGGCCTTTTGGTTTGTGGATAACGGAATTTGAAATAAAGGGGCCAGGGAGGATTTTTCACAGGTAACGGGTGAAGATCACCTCAGCCCCACCATGGTTTAGGCTGAGGTAAGAACATTTATGATGATAGCACCTCACTTCAATTATAGCACTCTCGGATTTAAATTTTGAATGTAATTTCATATTTTTCCCAATTTATTTTGTTATAATTTTGAAATTAGGGGCGTCGGGCCGACTGTGGCCCACTTGGATAAACAACTGAATTGAAATCAACACAGTAATTAATAATTACTCCTCAAAAAACCGATTAATATTGAGGGGCCCACTGGCCGATATTTTCTTCAAAATATTAAGTTGGCAATTATTTTAAATTAGGCCTATTATATTTAGTATATTATTATATTAGCCCTTGGCCCCAGTGTTTTGCACTGGCTGCACTGCCCATAGCCACGCCACTGAAAGCAGCATGTAATGCATTAAAAACAGAAATCACGAGTGCCACAACTGTATTGTCAAAACAATTAACAAAAGTAAAACACAACACGTACAACAGACACAACAGCCAGAAAACAATAATTGGAAGTACTATGCAAATATAAATACTATATGAAGATTATTAAAATTGCGTTAACAGACATGACTTTTTGTCGTGTTAATTTCAATTTTTTGTGTATTTTATAAAACTTACAAAAAAAAATCAATTACTTATTAGTTTATTTCTCGTTTTAATATCTAGTTAAAAATAATAAGGAATTGTATAATATATACGCAATATATACATAATTATATAGGAGGCCTATGTATAAATGTATATTTAATTGTATTAGACTATTAAACTTGTAATCATTATGCCCTGTCTACACTATCAAATTTTCTTTTGACAAAATACTGTTGTATGCCCATAGTAATGATATGCCTATTATGATCATGATGTGATGCCATCATGACCATATTAAGGCATGTCACATGCATTTCTTTTTTGTCAAAAACAGTTTAATAATCTGGATATGGGTTGAGTATGTCATTTAGACCTACCTGGTATTTGTTTTAGAGTGAGCTCAAATCCTTTGGCATTATATTCAGAGTTTGACTTGAAAACTAGGAGCATCTGATTAGATGAAGTAATGAATGGAGCTGGCATGTCCTTACCAGACGCCCTCATCAGTAGCTGAGACGAATCAACAACATCACCATTAAAAACATCTATCCAGTCTAGTGGGCCAATTGTTTCGAATTCCAGCAGATTTCCATTTATCAATGTGGTTGAATCTGAGTATACGATCCATTTGCAAAATAGATTTTCAGAATAGTTTGCAGGGTAGTTTGGAGACATTATGGTGTAAAGCTGGCTAGTCACTTGAATAGTGCCTCCGCACTCAGTCACTAAAATAAAGCAAGAGTTTTGTTAGTCTGAATTTTTTAAAACTTCATGGGAATTTACCTTTATTTAGTGTGAATTGCTTGCAGTACACCACGTAGATAGTTTTTGTTGAGAATGTCTCAACATTTTCATATTACTGTCTTCTTACGACCTCTACAGGTGCACATTATATATATTTCATTATTTTTTTGTTATCATATTATATTTATATACTGTAAATTTTACAGAATATAACCTGGTCTTGTTATACATTACAGTGGATCAGCATTAAATTATAAATACAGTAAAAATATCAACCTCATAAAAAAATGTCACAATGAATTAAAGTAAGACATAAAGTAAGACATAAAGTACATTAATATATATATATATATATATATATATAGAGTGAGCTCAAATCCTTTCGCTATATTTTTTATCTGTACCACCTGATGAAGGGCGATGCCCGAAAACGTTTGTGTTTTTTACCATTTACATATATATAAAATTAACAGATAAAATTTACACAGATAATTCCATCAATACATACAACTTCAGAAAATGTGTCATAACTAACTTTTATCATATTATTTTTTATATACTGTAAATTTTACAGAATATAACATGGTCTTGTTATATATTACAGTGGGTCAGCATTAATTGATAAATACCGTAAAAAAAAAACATCAAGCTCCTAAAAAATGTCACAATGAATTAAAGTAAGACATAAAGTACATTAATATATATAAAAAAAATGAACAGATACAATTTACACGGATAATTCCATCTATACATACAACTAAAGAAAATGTGTCATAACTAATTGTACACTCTATGTGGAGTACCTACATGTTTCACAGTTGTATCCACTGTACTGCTGTGGACAGGTACATGTGTGATAGTTTACTTCCATGGAACATGAACCACCGTTCTGACAGGGACCACTACCGCACGGGTCAAGAAGATCTGAATAATATTGATAAAATTTGATAAAATCGTTAAATTATAATTGTACTGTGTCCACACTGTCAGGTTTATGTCACATGTACCAGTAATTTATATGATATACTGAGGTGATTATGCACAGGGTTAAATCACACATTATTAGCCTACAAAATCATTAATAATTATGAAATTTCAAACACTTATGTAAGATTATCAACATCAAAATGCAAATGCCACTATGTTCAGTTGATAGTGTAGACAGAGCTTAACGTTATTCTGTTGCATACTGATAATCATTTTCGGTCTATAATTACATCATTTATTATACTGTGCAGTAAGCATAATTTATCACATATCTAGTCATGAGTACTTACTTCTTTCACATGTTAAACCTGCGAATCCCTCTTGACATGTACATATAAAATACCCTACAAAGTTTTCACATTCTCCGTCATTCAGACACGGTATGGAGGCACAAGCATTTACAACTGAACAAAAAAAATCCCAAAAAAATTTAAATTCAATTAAAACAGTCAATATATAATTGCCTAAAATATAAATAAATATACAATAGTTAATTATTAAACAGTAAAAAAAAATCAAAATTCATAATTTAAAACAGTTTATATAAAATTCCATTAATGGAAAATAAATAAACAAAATGTGAAAATTTCTATGCGTGATAAGCTAAGATTACTATTGAATATAATGTTTCAATAAGAGTATTAAATAGCATCAACTAGTAAAATTGGGCCTACTTGATTCACAATTATCTCCTGTGTATCCCGTGGCACAAGTACACGTATACAAGCTGATGTAGTTGTTACACGTTGCTCCATTTTGGCAAGGAGTGTTACTGCATTTATCTGTAGCTATAATGCAAGACAAAAACAGTTTAACAACTACTAGGTACCCTACCAGATGTATTACTTTAATTTGTTTTTTCAGATATCACAATGCTGTATATAGGCCTATTTGTTAGGGATAGTTTTGGTGGTGGGTGTTTGTCTTTACTAATGAATAAATTTAAATTATAGTCTGGTAAATCTACTTTAATTTCCGGCTAAAAACTTTCAATTGTAGTTAACAAACGGGAAGAAGAAAAAGAGGATGATTAAATAGATTTTTTAAAGAATTAGCTTTCTAGATTGATGACTTAACTTACGTATTTCGCAGTGAGTTCCAATGAAACCAGTTGCACTACATTCGCAAATATAACTATCACCAGCTAAAATACACACTCCACCATTTTGACAGGGGGTGTTCTCACAAACAGAATCAGCTAAATTGTAAAGAAACATATCAAAACGTTAAAGTACTTCAATGGTGTAATGGAGTGGAGTTCATTACTAGATTGTTAAGATCTTGACTTCTAATCGCAAGGTCCTCGGTTCAAACTCTGTAACAGCAGGTTATTAAGATATTGGAAACAGAATCTTAATCTCCACTGGGAATTTGGACCGGAAGCGTGTTGCAAACATCATAACCGACTCAACTAGACAACTAATACTTTTTTAGTTATGTGCGATCCAGTTGCCATTGAGCGTCTTCAATCATTGTTCCTTCTATCTAGGTCTGGAAAGTTCTCTTTAAAAGGCCCTCATATCCACACCCTACTCCGGATCGTCACTAAAATTTACAAACTTTACAAACCATTCTAGAAAATTATTCTAGATATTCATGTATGGGAAGTTAGCATTTTAAATGACCCCTAAATTCACACCCGAATCTGGATAGTCACCAAAATGATACCGATCAGTGATCATTTCTTGAGATATCTAGTGTGGAGTGCTTTAAATGGTCCCCTACGTCAGGAACCTTCCTCTCAATAATAATAATAATAATAATAATAATAATAACAATAATAACAATAATAATAATAATAATAATAATAATAATAATAATAATAATAATAATAATAATAATAATAATAATAATAATAATATCAGAAATCATCTGTGAAAATCTGACGCATAGGCTATAGACCTAAAACTGTAGGCAGAAAGTTGCTAACAAACATACAAAAAATTGAAATGAAAATATAACATCCCTCTGAGGAGGTAAATAATATGGGATTTTATATAAAGAAAACATATCTAAAATTTAAAGAATATAAGAAAATATAAGATGTATATTTTGACACGGCTCACATTACATTAAAATAATGAAATTTAAATCATGTTTCAATTATGAAAGTTGCCCACAGTGGCGTATCTACTGTAAGAGTATAGAAATGGAGGGGGATAATGGGGGCGCAAATGTTAATTGGGTGACCTTGACTATTAGGTAAGGGGGCTAGATGGCAAAAAATAAGGTGATTTTTAACTGCTTGAGTGTATTGTTTTACTTAAAATATTGGAACACAAATTTTTTTGGAGGGCACCTCACAACCCCCACCCCGTGCAACCCCGTGTCTCCATCATTCTGTTGATGTTGAGTGGCACTTACTTTGATCACAATGTGTTCCAGTGTACCCTGTCCTACAGCTGCATGTATAGCCTATACCAGACGGTACACACGTACCCCCGTTCTGACATGGGGTACTCGAACATGAGTGAGTTGCTATATTAAATTTTTAAAAAAATATGCTTTTAATTTTGTATTACAAGTATTATATTACAGTTGACGTTAAAATAATATGTACTCATATATTTTGTAATATTATTTTGAATCATTGACATAGTACGTCTATAATCATAATTGTGGATTCATTATTGATTAAAAGAAAAAATATAGTGCATTATTAATATGCCTCTATCAACTCTTAGAGATAAATACCAAATAAAAAGCTGAGATGTGATGAATTAAACACGAGTCTTTAGAATTGAATTACGAAAATACATTAAAAGAAGCAGATTAAAACAGAATTTTTAAATAAAATGGGTCACATTGCCGTACAAAATAATAGGTTCGTTCCAAATATAAAAATAGACAATGAAGGTTATGCTGTAGTCTGTAAATACCAATGCAAATAGCAGGGGAAAACTAGGCATATCGAAAGCTAGAAAATCTGCAGACTATAACTTAGGCCCTATAAATATCAAAAACAACTGTAATTTCTGCGGTTCTTTAAATTATATTCTAGAAAGACTAGAAAGTTTCTATCACCAATTTTACAACAATTTAGAAAAGGTGGGCGCCTGCAGTCGATCGTTTTGTTGCTTTAGTTCAACAATTGGCTGGTTATCAGCTTATCAGACATTTTTTTTTAAATTCACGGTTCATGCAAAATGAGCAATAGCACGAAAAACTAATCCAATAAATTCAAACATTAGTAGTTGTTGGAATATTTACTAGAAGATGTTTGTAAGTGATAAAATTACACCGCTCGCCATGTAGAGTACCGTAATATATGGTAAGGGTGATGCTTCTTTCGTTTGTTTTAGAAATGTCGATATTGACATAACTAGAATAAATGTGGTTTATGATTACATATAGACCAAATCTGGTAGAAACCTTGTAAGTTTGGGTTTTGGCTCGTTGAAGAAACTTTAATATTTGTTCTAATTATCAATTTGTTTAAAATTCCTAAATTATATTTCCATTATCAATGATATTTTCCTGGTATTTATATTGTTGTTGCTTTTCTAGGCAGTCCTCTTGTTTTTAATATTGTCTATAGTATTGTTATTTTAGGTACTGTAGCCTTTTTGTATGTTTTATATTGTATTTTAATCTTTGCAGAACAGCGTCGTTACTATCTCGTTTGTATATGTTATTCTGTTTAATAAATAAATAAATAAATTATATGTTTAGGTTTTTTCCAATTCCAATTACACTGTTTTTCACTTTTTGGCTTGAGAATTGCTTGCGCTGTAAAAAATATGTAACAGTTACAGATTCACCATGTGGAGGAAAATTGGTTAAAAAATAATTATCACTAATACTGAGACATCGCAGATCAAATATTATCATTTTGTTGTTGTTGTTATTATTATTGTTAATGTAGTTAATTTGTTATTATTGGTACTGTTAATATATTAAGTAGGTCTAACAACATACAAACACCAACTAATTTATAAAATAATAACAACAACCATAAAATACACCAAAATTGCTTGGAAAATGTAGCAATCACAAAAAACTTCATAAATATAAAAAATATTGTTAAAATGCTCATGCCGAATTATAAGGACAAAAATTGTGTCAAAATAAAAGCTACTATCACCACTCAACTTACATATCTCACATCGTGTGCCGCTATAGCCAATGAGACACTGGCAAACATAGCTTCCATCCTCGTTCACGTGGCATGTACCATCGTTCATACATGGATCCGACTGGCAATGGTTGCCAGCTTAATTCAAAAAGATATAACCAGGGAACAGTTATGTCTGATTATTATTGGTACACAAAAAGTGGAATTATGTTTTGATGAATTATCATATTCATCATAATCTATATTTTTCATTATAATTTATGTACTAATTATAAAAACTGTGTTAGAAGTTTTAGAAAGGTTACCTATTTCACAGAAAACTCCAGTCCAGCCGAGTATGCAAGCACATTCAAATTCATTCTGTACTGTTACACAAGTCCCGTAATTCTGACATGGAGAACTGCTGCACGGTGCTGCAAAATCAACAAAATATTAATGTAGGCCTATGGTGATACAGAAAATCAAGATTACTAGTTTATGGTTCTACTCAATTCAATAACGGATACCTGTTGCATAGTGCAACAACAAAGAACCCAAATGATTACCAAATGGTGCCATATAATAGCAACATCAATTAGGCCTTACTGATTCAAAGGGTTATTGATGTATGGCACTACAACACAAATGAATACTATAATTATTATATTTGCTGTGGTGCAACAGATTAGGAAGTTCTTTTTTTTTTCCATTTAGTGTTGAGAACACCACATTTATTCATCATAATTTCATATATTACATATTATGTTCAATCTACATGAGTATATTTAGTTTTTGTTAATACCCACACTATTTGTTAATACAAGTTCTTTATCATAGTTCAATCTATGCTTCCATCATGCATATTATAAAATATTTCTTTTTGATTTCAGAATTACTAATATTTTACTTGTTTTTGCAACTTTTTCGGTTTTTTTTTCTAACTATGTACATTGTGATTTTACATGGTTTACACTCTTATTCATTTGTATAAAATAGATCTCATACTTTTTTCCATACATTAAAAACATTTCTTCAACATTATATTTGAACACAATCCATGGGTTTGTGCAAACTGGTTTGTTCAGGTCACTTAATATTTTAATATAGTAAATTGAATGTGTGACAATTGAATATAATTTATTTTTAATTCTAGAACCGCAACCAAGTTCTTTAAACAAACTACTACTTATCCAGCTTTCTTTGCATTCAAAAATGTTTGTCATCATCAATTCCATCCCAAATGTTACATTTGTTACTAATTTTCAGTTTCCAATGTATAGTTGTAGGTTTGTAGGAACAATTTCGTTTAATAATTTTTAATTTAGCTGTGCATATTTATATCTTTTTTCGTTTTTTATTTTCTTTTCTTATTTCTTCTCTCCGTTGAAACAAATGTCCCATTTACGTGTAGATTGAGATGGAATTGACTGTTCATTAAACAAAACTTGTGTAAATAGATTTTGTTTTCGACTTAACTATGATACATTCATCCGTAATCATCATGTGCACATCATGGTTCTGCTTCTTAATTATAACAATTCATTCCCTTGGAATAGCATCAATTAGTGATGCGTATTCACTGAGCCAATTTCCCTTAATACATAATTTCTTCGGGTTTCATTAATCCATTATATACAATTATACAATTGACTTTAAAAAAATTCATTGAGAATCCAGTTCTTAAAAAACAAGAATTTATTTCTATGCGTAATTACCTTATTTCCCCATAGGTTTGTTCAACTACTTTGTTCAACTGCTTCGTAAGTGTTAACTATACGACTCTCGATTTTGTTTATCAACACAGCACTTAATGAAGTTAAGTTAAAGTTAATGTGATCTTTACTGGTGTACATCTCCAACTTTATTTATATACTAATATAACGGCAATAATTTCCATCTTGTGTGTTTTTTTTTTACCAGGGGTGGCGCCAGGATTTGCCCGACGGGGGAGGGGTCACCGACAGGGGGCCGATGACCCCGACGAGGGGTCAGATTTTCCAGATGGAAGCAAAGTGGGCGCGGTCGAGCTTCGATTAAAAGGTGTCGAAAGTGGTCCGCGGGCTAAGCATAAATATGCCTGCTTTCTCATTTTATGTAATAAGAAATACATGTACATGTCACCTTTCCGAAGAAAGTAAGGTTTTCAGCCTTCAACTTGTTTAGTAAGCTTCTAAATTAATTAGCTTATTATCACAATTTAATTTTTCACATTCCTTTTTATTTTATCTCATGTATATTTCCAATATTTTTATTGACTCATTTACCCAATTTAAATCATATGGTTTTCCACTATATTTAAACTCTTGCCAATCCACATGGCATTTGTTTTATTTTTATTGAGGGTCATACCGGAAACCTCACAGAAATTACTAACAATGTGTAGCCCATGTACAATACTGTCTTCATTACCAACAAACATAACAGTGTTATCTGCAAGTTCTGCAATGCGAACTTCTTCATTCTCATCTGCATTGGGTACTGCTATTCCTTCATAGCATAGCATATCGTTTCATCATATTACATGCCATAATTTCAACAACTAAAATAAACAAAAGTGCCGACAATAGAGAGCCCTGCCTTAATCCATGTCTCATCTCAAAACTGTCGGATATCCATCCATTATTGACAGTGACACATTCTGTATTGTTATAAATTGTGCTTACCATTTGCAAAATGAGTCCCCTATATTAATTTTTTTTTAGTTTTAAACATAAAATCGCTACTAACAGAATCAAAAGTTTTCTGAAATCAAGCGATAGTATAGAACCTTCTACCTTCTATTCTGCTGTATAATGCAAAATATCATTAATTAGATTTCAAATTATTTTATAAAGCCTGGAACACACGATTTATGTTAACATTTTATAATCAGTATTTTACAATGTTATAGGAAAACAGGTTTCTAGCAATTGATTATCTCCTTTCTTATATAGTAAATTTATTCACTTTTTTGTGTATGACTCATTTCACCATTATAATAACAGTCATTTAGCGCATGGCAAACAATTTGTTTAAAGTCTTTCTAGAATAATAAACTCCACAGTATGTACCTTTTATTTCTTGTTCATACATTTTTTCTATTTTTTTTTTCTTCAATTTCTGCCACAATGTTTTCATTTAAATTACTAACATTATTAACCAGAGCATCATTCAATTGTTTTATATGTTTTTGTAGATATTCTTTTATTATAGTTTTCTCTTATTTATTTTTTTACCATAATAAATTGAAACTTCTGTAATTTTACTTTATTAATTCGCAATAAGATCTGTTTATTAGCCTGTGTTGAAAAATAAATATTAATAATATTTTAAGACTTTTGATAGTCAATATTATCCAGTAGGTTATTATTTAATTTCCAATATCTTGGGCCTCTTATAAATTCATCTAGTCCAATTATTAATGAGATTGCCTGGCGATCAGTTAGTATAGCAGGTCATATATTTATAAGATTTTGTGATATTAACAGATAAGTTGTGTTTTATGCGGATTTTTATTCCTCCAAACATCTTTTAAATTGAGGTTCTTAATTGTAAACACGGATATATCTTTTCTATCTGGACTATTTTTGTTATTACATTTTCTATTTTAGATGCAATTAAATTACTACTAATTATAATGTTATCCTTATCTAAATTAACGATACTAAAAATAACATTACTCAGGTCTCGAAAATATGTACTCCTTAATTTACAATTGTTCGAAGCATATATGTTAACAAATATACATATTTTACCCTTAATTTCTACTTTCAGAATAGCATATTTTCCATTTTTATCAATATATTTATTAAGTTTATTAAAACTGAAGTCTTTTGTAAATATAATAGACACTCCTGCACTATTGAAAATAAAAAAACAGTAGGCTACTATAAATGCAAAAACCCTCCCATAATGAAATAAATGTATTAATTCATGAGTAATACGCGTTTCTTCAACTTTTTTTCCAATCATCATAATGCATTTTGTTTTGCAATTAACTTTTAATTTTACTAATGAATTACTTTGTTTTAGTACTTTCTTACTTTTGCTTGATTTTCTTTTTCTTTTGGTGCCTGGTAATGCGGGTGAAATTTTCTGTGATTCAGACTGTTCTTTCTACTCGTTCTTGTCGTTTACTTTCACTTAGCCTTGTTGTTCGGAAGATGGTGCTGATGACTTCATGAAGTGTGTTATATTTTCTTGTCTCTTTTTGAATCTCTTCTTCGCTATTCTCATTTGATCCCGAATCATCCTTCACGTATGTGTCTATGCCTCTGTTTCCATCACTCGTTCCCACATTTCTTTGATTAATTTTTCTCCTAAGTCGTCGTGCAAAAGCTTTCTGCACTACATTGATCTCTTCTATGCATTTCACTCTCTCATCCGTCCGACCATTATTAAGAACCTGGTTTTGAAATTGTTAACATTGATAAACATTGGTAGAGGTGTCTTAAAGGTTTCAGCATAGATTACCCGGTCTCCATTCAGACAACTTGTTAGTTGTCCATCTACATTTAGCCTCAACCACTGTATACATCATGTTACTTTACAGTGAAAATGCAAGATCGCTTTCCTAATTTCTTCATCAGATCTTTAACCACGTGTCGAGTCTACATCATATGGTAAATAGAGGTTTCTATTATGTACTTGAACTTTCCTACCTCGGATGTTTACTCCCGCGCTATCTTGTTGCGAATCTATATATATTCTCCACAGGTTTTTAATACGTTGAATGCCATTATGTGTTGACTTTGCACTTTGCACTGTAAATATCCTGTGGTTCAACATACGTATCTACTTTTTTTTTGACATCGTCAGTCTCAACACTTGTTTCACCTAGTTCTGGGCTCCCGCTTCTGAAGACTCATGACCATTGAGCGCGGGCTTCAAATGGGTATTTGTCATCATTATTTTAACAGGAAAATATTTAGGTAGAAGAAATCAATATTTTTCAAAACTTTTTACCTTGGGTTTATTTGGTAGAAAATACCTCTTTTTATAAACTTTCAGAAAAATATCTCAGGCGAAATCAGGAAATATATTAATATTTCTGCAGAGCACGTATATTGAAACCTCTCCTTGGAGAACTATATACTGTACTGCCCTTTTCCAAATTATATAGTTACTGAAGGTGCCATCAGTGTTGGTAGACTACCGGGTGGTATCAGGTATAAACCGAAAGGTCCACTGATTAATCTCAGATAAGAAAGTATAATACATACTCCAAGTATTGAAATACATGCCATCGTGTTGGGATTCAATATTTCGACATTAATTATGTCATCATCAGGAATGACATAATTAATGTCGAAATATTGAATCCCAACACGATGGCGTGTATTCCAATACTTGGAGTATGTATTATACTTTCGTATCAGGTATAAATGATTAAAATAACATAAAATTTGATTGATATAATTTAAATTAAAAGCAGTCTATTTTAAAACGGAAGTAATATTTTTTTTAAACTTTAAATAAATTAAGAAATACACAGATATATATATATATATATATATATATATATATTAAGTGTAGAATATTTGCAATATAAAGCTATATGAATATATTTTATAATATTCAATGTCAATATTAACATGCCAATGAGAAATAAAAGCTGAATAATCAATTTCCATATTTCAGAAAAAAAATATCTGAAACATGTAATTACATTGAAATTCCACTCACTTAAATTGCAATCTGTTCCTATGAATCCAAGAGGACACGTACAAAGGTAGGACGTATATAGGTTGGTACAGGTGGCCTCACCATGACACGGATTGCTAATACATGGATTAAGTTCTATAACAATGGAAACATAATTGTTTTCAATTTCAATTTCAGTTACATTTTATTTCAAATAACCTCTAGAATAGAAGAAAAACAAACGTCAATTGAACATCAAAACATACAAAAATCTAACAGCTTCACTGATTATGTTTAAATAACATACTAATGAACGTTAATCCGAATAAAGAGGAAGGCCATGATTCAACCTTTCGAATTTTATTGGTCATCTTCAGGAATCATTTATCATTCCATAAGATGACCCAATAAAGGTCGAAACGTTGAAATATGGCCTCCGTCTCTTTATTCAGAGTAATGTTCGTTATCAACATACATATTGCAGAAAGAATTAAAAAGAACATCAAAATATGAGAGTAACGAACTCAGTGATCAAAATTTTATGATTCGTTTATGATTATGATTACTGCATGTAATCAGACCATACCATCTTTACAGTTTATTACAGAGTAGTAAAATATCCTTTTTATGCGCTGTTCTGAATTATAAGATAAGGTCCAACTTAAGGTATAAATACACTGCCTAAGTTCATACCTTCTTGACATAACATTCCAGTAAATGCCGGTGTACACACACATGTCGCTGTCATGCTATCAATTTCAGCACATAACCCCCCATTGGCACATGTCATAGATTCACAAGGAGATGGTTCAACTGGTTCTACATTTAGAAAAAAAAATCATCGTATTAGGCCTATGTAAGATTACGATGACAGAACATGTTGCCCTGTATGTACTCACTGAGTATAGTAATAAATGTAAAATGCAGAAATATCCCAGTGATACCAATCAGAGCTCAATTAAAGTAATTTATAGGATGTCTGTAATAATTCATTATATATTGTCAAAGTACACAATATATAGACCTATATATATATTTATATATACTGAAGGACTGCATTTCATCAATAGTTGATGAAACTTCATATTTACGTTCAATGAAAGTTTCCCGACATACTCCATCTCGCCGTCTCCAATCATCCTCTCAAAACCGTTTTTCTGTCTCCAAATACCCTACCAAAACCTACGGTCAATGTTTTTTTACTTATGCTTCTGCCTATTTTTTGAATCAACTTCCAAATTACATAACTTCTTCCAACTCTATTTGCAACTTTAAATCACAGCTTAAGACCTATTCGTTTTCCAGTGGATTTTCACATGCGTTGTGCCTTTGATCTTGTTTGGATTTTACGCCACATAATTTCGAGATATTATTATTATTATTATTATTATTATTATTATTATTATTGTTATTTTTTTGATAATATATTTATACTGTATGTAGCTTTATGAATGTATTAGGCCTATATAAATATATATTATATATATACCTTATGATTATAGACCTATATAATTATAATATATATTATAATTATATAGGTATATTTTGCTCACTGCACCATAAACTTTGTTGAATAGGCCTATGTTCAACATGCCATGAAACTGAAGTAATTTTTCTTAATATTAAAATAATTAGCCCTATTTAACGTTACACGCTCCTATTTGTACATAAGTAGGCGTACACTATCAGTGTATGTCGTACTTTCATCACCAGTTTTTAAATTTGTTAATAAGGTGGTAATTTCTATATTTTCATAGTAGGGCCTACTACCAAACATCCTTTAGGATAAACATACCAATTTCGCAAAGAACGCCGCTATATCCATTAAAACAGGAGCAAGTATGGTATGTGACCTGGTTAACGCAAATGCCACCATTCCTACAAGGGCTGCTGTTGCACGGGTTTGTTACTGAAAGAATAAAACAACACTTACTTAACTTATTGTATATTGAGCAGTTTTTTAATGTGATATAGTCTTCTTGTACTTCAGAATGACTGCACAATCAACAAGTGAGCATTATGCAGAAACAACAACGATTACACCGTGGGAATATAATAAACACAAATTGATGACTTTGATAATCACACAATAAACTTTTGAATATACCGGTATCTAATTCTATGCCTACTTCCCAAACAATATAACCAAAGCTGTTTGTTTTTATATTATGTTGACTGTATAAGCAACCACCACCAATGAAAATCTCTTAGCAGGTTTACTCTGAAAATAATATATGATGAAATGAAAATACGACAAATAAATGAACCAACAATATTACTTACAATATACAAAATTCATAAAATTAACACATACATTGATAATATTCTTATTGTTTAAAAGAGAAAAAATTATTGTTGCATACAAAAAATATACATGAAATATGTATCCTATGCTTACACAATATAACAAAATTACATAGGCCTACACATCACAATCACAATAAATATAAATATAATAGCACCAAAAGCCTAACTAAACAATGGAAAGACATTAAATTGGTCTAAAAAATAGCTAACCTAAGAAAGTTAAATTATGATTTCAATATGTGACTATTAGGTAAGTGCTACATATTTTCATGTTTTAAAAAATAAAAATAATAAGAAAAACACACAACACTTATATCCTGAGATGCTAAACCATTCGCAGTAAAACAATGGTCTAACAATGTGGAAAAGCGCTCTGAGACTTAGTATAGAGCGCTATATAAAACCACAACCCGAAAATATAACGTACCAGAAACAAAAACCAATAAAAAATATTATCAAAAATTGACAGAGAACAACAATGTATACCATCGTTTAATTCACAGAGCGTTCCCGTGTAGCCGGCAGAACAAACGCACAGGAAATACGTGTCATTCAGCGCCAGACAATTACCGCCATTCTGGCATGGTAAATGTTGGCATATTTCATTATCCGGACCTTAAATAAACCATTCAACAATTTATTAAAATATACATACACACACACACACACTTATATATATATATAAGTATGACTAAAATGCCAAAAATGTTTGTTAGCATTGACAAAAATATAATAATAATAATAATAATAATAATAATAATAGATTGATTTATATCAGCGCAGATAAACGATGTCACTATGCGCTCGGGACTAGATGTTGCACTTTTCAATAACTTTCTCCTCCCTTGAGGATCACTTTATGTTCACCGCAACCAGTAAACGGCGCACTTTCATCTGTCCACGACAGGGGCCGAGTGAACCAGTACACCGGGGTAACCCCCTACTCATCTGAAAAGATGTACTGGGTTCTTTAAAGTGCACATGAGCATTTGTGTACACTGGGCCTACGGTTTATAGTCCTTATCCAAGAAGACTTGTTACACCACCAGCACTATAGGAGCGAGCCGGCCGCAAACCTGTGCCGATATTGTTGGTTATGATCATGGTGCCCTGCCTTAACCGCTCGGCCATTTGGCTCGCTCCAAATAGGTAACACATGGGGGTGGGTAAAATACTTGAAACGATTACTTGACATAGGCCTTAAAGTTTTCAATAATTAATACCTATTTCACAATTTGTGCCAGTGAAGCCACGCCCACAGACACATCTCTGAAGTCCGTTCTCTACAATACATAATCCATTTTCCCCGCATGGATCCTCAGAGCATTCAGTTATTATATTATCTGTTACGAGTAAAGATGACATATATAAAACAAGTTTAAACCTGAGACAAATATATATATATACAGTTTTTATATATAAATGAAAAATATAGCCTTAATTTGCCACAATTTATTTAACCATTTTAAATCAAGTCAAACTTTCAGTTGTGAACGTTTAATGTACAGAGTTGGTATACATTCTGTGTGAGTTGTACAGTATATTATATCACATATTGTTTTGAATGCATCGTTCAATATATTGCAAACAATACTCATTTTGTATGCATTTTTATGTACAATCACATGTTAGCTCATGAAAAATAATAGGTTATATGTGAAAAAAAGTGTAAATACTACCCCTCAACGTAAGGGATCAAAGTCGAATAACAAATGTGATACTTTTACTTTTCGTTTTAATCCTAATCAAGATGGATATAGCAATCATACAACAATGCTTTTTTAATTATAGCTATTATATTGGCTCATTTCATATTTGAGTTAAATTCCTGTCGCATGAGCCCTGAAATATTGTGCTAGCATTATACCAACACTTTATCAAAATCTAATTAAACTTTTGTACCATTGTCTTGACAGTTAAGTCCAACATATCCATCTCCACACATACAAATATAGGATGTAGCATCAAGAATTTCACAAATACCCCCGTTTTCACACGGCTGTCCGATGCATGGACTCTCTACAGAAGGTTGGCATAAATGAAACTATTATTCGAAAGAACCACTTATGTTGTGTAACAAAATCGGGTCAATTCCAAAGTTGACAGGGCAGAAATGGCATACGAAAAAAAAATTGAAAATCAAAATTTAGAAAGAATATTCAGCTTGAAGAAATATATAGTCACATATGAACACCTGTTCATTCTTTCAACTTAACCAACTGTTATATCAAAACTACACATGTACCAAATTGTTTGCTAAAAATTGCATGCATTAAAAGAAATAAAATTCATTTTTAAATATCACTACTGTAAAATAACATTTATTATCAGATACCAAATAAACAGGCCTATCTATTCGTAATAGTTCCAAACAATAACCAATAATAATAAATATAATGATAAACTAGTGATGAAGATGAGGATAATGATGATAATAATGAAAATGAAGAGGATATGATAATAATATTGATGATGATAATATTGGTGATAATGATACTGACAAGGATAATAATGAAAATGATAATAATGATAATTATATAATGATAATGACAATGATGTTGATAATAATTATGATTCTGGACATTATGTGTTTGGTAACAACAATGTTGTGGATGTAAACAAATTGAAACATAAATGAAATAAAATATAAATGTAAAGCAAAAACCGTAACACATTATCTAAAAAAACCCAAAACCAGTTAAATATTTACCCCTCTCACAACGAATACCAATGTAATCATCTGGACAAATGCAGCCAACTGAACTATTGCTGGTAACGTAGCACACACCTCCATTTAGGCATACTGTGCTATTTGTACATGGCCCTGAATAATACACAGGATGACAACGATATTACAGTCAACTACAGTATGTGTTGACTTCAAATCCTAGTTAAATATTTACCCCTTTCTCAAAGATAAGTAGTATAATATTCGAGAAACAAACATCTGGAATAATTACAATAAAAAATATTGCTTTTATATGTATTATCCTTTAATTTCAAAGAAGTAAAACTGACGTTATGTGTAGAATATTTTTTATACCCTGCAGACCAGAATGAAATAAAATAGCATTGTTTAGAAACCTATGCAAAATAGAGTAAAAAATAATTATTAATTGAGGAGTATACCGCTTTCACAAAGTTGTCCAGTGAAGCCATACGGACAGATACAGCGTTGCTGATTAACCTCCATTATACACAAAGCGTCGTTTTGGCAAGGGTTGTCTTCACACAATGTGTATGGTTCCATTGTAGTAGAAGGAGTAACTAAGCAAAGTAATACAAACAATTTAATAGAGTGTCTGAATAAAATGTGAATAGGGGATATTAAAAAATCCTACACATAATACATTACTGATAAGACACAGTAATTTAATATACTAGTTAAAAATTAGAATAACATATACCAATAAAATGCAAAATAAAGAGATAAAAAAAAGAACTGATGGAAAGCATTTGAAATGTTACCAAGCTGACAATGCGTTCCGTAGAAACCATCTGGGCATTCACATGAATATTCAGTAAAATGACTAATACATTGAGCTCCGTTCTCGCAAGGGTCATTGATACAAAGATCTGGTCCTACAGAATAGAGTGTACAGTTATTATAGAAAGTCTTTTGAATTTCAATGAGCAACTGCTTTCAGCAACACAAAATATACAAGTGTCCGTGAATGAATGAATAACATAAATCTAATACTAAATATAACAGAACATGGTTGCGTCAAGAAAATAATAATAATTACAAAAAAAAAAAAAAAATAATAATGATGATGGTAGTGACAATAATATGAAATAATATTATTGATTAAATAACAACAATAACAATAATATTTGTACCATATTCGCAGTTGTCACCGAAAAATGCATTAAAACATCTGCAGGTATAAGTTGTTCCATCTGATTCACATATGGCGCTATTCTGACAAGGGTTTACTGAGCATAATCCGTCATCATCTGTAGCAAATACAGGAAGAGTATAAAGAATATTAACAAGTGTTACGTAGGTCTACTGTGTAGGCCTAATCAGTATTAAACTGCATATAGTTATAATCAAGAGTATCATAAAGAATATAGCTTATTCTGATTGCGGATACGTTAATGTTAAGCGTTGAAAAAATTTCCAGAGGGCCTGCAAAGCCTGAAGGAAATTTTTGAATGCATTAAATCTAACCTAAGTATAATAATTTTCCATTTAGTGTACGATGCATGCTCTACTATTTGCTTTATAAGTCAGTTGCCGTCTTTTAATTTTAGTTTTTTATAACTAACTGTTGTAGCAGTCATCGGTTGGTATAGTGATATGATCAGTATAAATTTAAATTTAAAAATTTAAATTTAACATTTATATAGTGCACATTTCTACAACATACATCGTAATCAGCGGCACTTTACATGATCTGTCCCTGGTCATTGGTTCCACATGCTGAGTATGTTGCTGCTGTATTCAGCAGCAGGAGCAAGCAACCCCACCAGGTGCCCATTTATACTCCTGGGTGGAGAGAAGCAATGCAGATAAAGAACCTTGCTCAAGGACACAAGCGAAATGCACAGCGGGGGATTGAAACCCCGACCTCAAGGTACGGAAACCAAAACCTTTCACGCTGCGCCAAACCACTTCTTACACACACGTGTGTGTATTTACATTTAGCTGTGCTGATTTTTGCTCCTGCAGTACGCGTTTAATTTGGTTTAATTAACTACACATCAGCAGTACAGTACCGATACGATGAATAACTATTATGTTAGAAAGAACTTGTTTGTAATGCTATTTTGATAGACTTTCGTCAAAAAAATAAACATTTTAGCATTCGAGAGAGAATACAGTCACTGACGTCCTTTTTGGTCGGTGCATGCAGACAGACAGACAGGTAAAATCGTTGTGATTCTTATATAAAGTACACAAATGTAAACATTCTAATACAATAAATGTATTACCATTTTCGCAGCTAAGACCAATGAATCCATCTATACAATTGCATACATAGAATGTGATATAGTTAATGCACTGCCCTCCATTCTGGCATGGGCTACCTTCACACATATCTCCAGTATTCTGAATAACTGTAAAGAACATTTCGATGTCATAATTCGTTCTCACAATGTTGGCAATTAAGTTCCAAAACCAGTAATAATGATGATAATATACATGAGGTTTTCTAAATTATAGTTACACAATAAAATCAAGCCTCGGGCCTAATAGAATAGGCTAATCACTGTTTACATTCGTTATGGTAACAAGTTCAGCCTAGTCTCTAATATGATATCAAGGCCTAAGTGTTTATTAAACATTATTAATAAAATACTCTTTAGTAAAAATATATTAAGCACAATATATGTAGTCATGTTGTAGTTATTTACTACGCTATTTTCTATAGCGTTATCAGTTTTATTTCGAATATCTATCGAAAATTAGATGATTCCCTCTTCGCAGTATTCATGTTAATAGTTAGGTACACTATGATATAGAGTTATCTACCTTGTCCTAGTTTGAGTAATCATTAGAAATTAGAAGATACCTTCTTCACAGTTCGTTCCCGTGTAGGATGGAATGCAAAGGCATTCGTAGCCTCCGGCTGTGATAGTGCACTCCCCAGCATTGATACATGGGCTTGACAGGCATGGATTGCTTTCTATTGTGCAATGGCATTAAGTATCAGAAACTCATAAATAATGATAAATATAATTATTTTAATACATTTCTATGTCTAAACACATAATACCGTTCATTTCCATTGACTTGATTATTAAAAACTAAAATATACAAACGCCTAATAGGGAAAATGACATTATAATTACAAAGAAAAATAGTATGATTAATGAGTTCTACTGAAATGAAAAATTATTTGGGAAAATAAAAGAGCATTTTGGAAAAAAAAATACTGTAAAAGTGTGTTACGCTCAGAGGTCAAGTAAAAATGTAATCCTTAAATCAAGAACGAACTGATTTAGGAACCTTCTTTTTTGGAAGAAGGTATTAATTTTTGAATTATAAATGATTGGTTTTGCATATTGGCACTGACAAGAGTAAGCTTCGTCAACTGAAATTACAGTAGGCCTAATGTCGATCTGCATCTATTTAGCCTACTTGCATTTACAGTGTTTCATTAATGTTTTCTTAATAATGCAACAACTAATGTTCTTTAGCAGAAAACAAGACTGATCTGTAATAAACAATCGTAAAATTGTAAATACTTATTTTAAGATTGAAGTAAGAGGATAGTTGTCCACAGTAATACAATATCTATAATAAACAATCGTAATTGTGAATATTACTTAGATTTAAGTAAAATTGACTAATTGTCCACAGTAGTACAACCTAAAAACACGGTTGAAAACAGCACCAACTATTGAATGTGCAGCGTTCTTTAACGTACCTATGATTTCACAATTTGTGCCTATGAATCCTGCTGGACACTGACAGGTGTAGACATTTGATTGGCTACTGCAGATACCTCCATTTATGCACGGAGAACTAAAGCATACATCTATCACTTTATAACGTCAAGAAAAATTGTATAAAATGTCAAAATGATTAGCATAAAGAGTATTAGCCTATGAGAGTTTAATTTAAAACATCAAGTAAACAGATAAAGAATTACCAATCTTTAATATATGGTTTGTTATCATTGACCATAATTTATAATTATATATTTCCTATTTTAATGTTCCTATAAAATTATATATTCAACTTTCAGAGATGAATATTTTACACACTTTTATCTATTAATTACTAGAATCTAAATATTCCTATTCTTTTACCAAATTACTGTAAATAATAAAATAGTTATCTAGGTTATTATTATTATTATTTATATTATTAATATTATTATTATTATTATTATTATTATTATTATTATTATTATTATTATTTCATAAATATTAGACAATGACGTAAAAATAAGTTTATGTTACCAGTTTCACAGTGGACTCCAAGGTAGCCTGTAGGACAGGAGCAGCTATATGCATTGCCGAGATCAAAACACGCACCGCCATTCTGACACGGGCTCATTTCACATGGATTATTATTGGGTGGCACTGTGATAGCTTTGAGAAAAATATCACAGATATACTATTTAATATATTGATACTTATGGATACTACACTTGACAGAATCCGCACAGAGACTGACCGGAACATTGGGGACGTATAAAGCTGTTAGATTTAACATGTAATACCATAACAACAACTAGGCCTACACCGGAACCAAATTAGAAACCACACTCACATAAACACCTATACACTCTAAAACATCACAGACAAACTATTTAGTAGGCGTGTATTGAATCTTATGAATACTACATTTTATAGATTCCACACAGACACCAACACACTGAAGACCTAAACAAACTGTAACATCCAACATAACGGGTAACACCGAAGCCAAGGTAGAAATTACTCACAACTAACTCAACAACCTATAAACATTACATATATACGGGCGCATTTACTCTCAACAATGACATAATAAATTCTAACCAACCTTGGATGAGACTGAACACCTAAAATGATGTCGAAAAGTTTAGAAAGTTGGCCAGCACGAGAAGTAATTGGAAACATGTTGTACAACGAATAAGCCAGGTAGCCCAGGCGGAGAAATCAGATGATTACTCAGCGAAGAGGCATTAAAGTAAACACATTCACATACAAATTGAATACATTTTGGTTATACATACAATTGTTTGAATATACATATATATATATATATATATATATATATATATATATATATTGCTTGTATAGAAATATACAATCTTAAAGTAGTTTTACATTGAAATACATAAAGAACCTGTATAACGTTCAATGAAATGCATTGCAATTGATATCATGATAAAGGATTTTCAACTTTGTTAATAAATATCACTCCACCATTAATGTCATCATTGAGAAAAATATCAGTTTAATTTCATTTTGGATGGGGATGTGCGAATAGATAAGAACCGGATCACAACATCCTTTTATAATAATCCGACAGATAACCAAAATCTCAGCTGCAACAGCATTTTAAAAAGTACATTATAAATTGGCAATGTCTATGTTTACTTAACTTAAGCGAATTCCAACCCCACCCCGCCCCCTCCAACACTTACTACAATCTTCGCAAACAAAGGCAAATCGCCCTCCCTAAAGTGAAACCCAACGCAGCAAAAAAATTATTATTAACTTTGGAGTTTATGGAATGGTAAATTTTTAAAGCATTTATTTGGTTGATTTATCTCTCTGTTCTCTTTGTTTCAATTTAATGAAAAAGAATGTATTAATTACAACTTCAGTCTCGATGAGGTTAATAGGCTTTTGTAAGTATTTCTTTTAAGATTGTTCTAAAAAAATTAAAGCTGAAATAATAATATTAAACTTTAAATTAACTAATTATGATCATAATCCTAATCTTTTACTTTTATAAATGGAACCAAATTTTGATGTTAATCCCAATCATGTACTTATTGAATTCAGATATTAATAATGTGCAATACAATTTTGAATTTTAAAAAAAATATATGTAGGCCTATATATTGGATTTGCCTTGAATTAGTACCGTAAATTATTATCATTAAAACAGTTTGTTGAATCCGTATTTATCAATGGATTTTTGCCCTTTTTAATTCCAGTGGCATTTTCCTAATATAATTAATTGTACATAATTGTTATTATTATTGTATATAAATTTTGTATGTTTTTGTTTTGGTTTTTGGTTTGTAATTATAAATTTAATCTTGTTCTTGTTTTTTGAGAATTTGCTGTTACTCTTCAATTTTGTTCACGAAATTGCAAATAAATAACATTTGAAGATTTGGAAAATTCCGCAGGTGACCTTCAGCTGATCTAAAGACACAATATGGCTTATAGGTTGATAGAAGATCTGAGAGCTATAAATCTTGAGATGCTGAGTGTGTTCTTCCTTGTAGATAATCTTTTGTGCCATGGAAAAAGAGTCGTAATTGCTCAAGAATTCAAGAACCAAGATAGTTTGTCTACTTTATTCGTTTAATGTCGCCATTAATCGATTGAGCCCTCTCACCCTTGATGACACAAGATAGCCGTTAACACTGTCAAATTATATATAAATCATCAAAGAAAGGTAAATACAGTGTTCGAATAAAGGACATGATGGTACATCGTGTAGTACAGCTCTCAACGAATGTTGTCATGTAAAATAAATAAATGTCAACATACTTTACATACTATGTAAAGTTATAGCACAAGCCACAAGGAAAATGAAACATTAATAATTTCATGGGGGGGATTAATGATTCTTACACTACATATTGGATTGAATTGACTAAAAATCTACAGAATGGAATTGGTCGGCATACTTTCCATTTAAGTTAAGTGTTAATATGGGCAAATGTTGGCATTGAGAGGAGCCATGTTGTACGTATCTTGAAGTTTCAGCCATCCCTCTCCCATCCGTTAAACCACCTGTGCTTTTAATCGATCTCATCAAAACCTGTTGATAATCGTGGCTGTGTGTATATAACTATATTATGTCAGTGTTTAACTTTTGACACTACAAGCTATTTGTAGCTATGCTTACTGTTGATTTTTGCTAGATTCTGTACATCTTCCAGAAAGGTTGACGTTTGACCCATGACACTAACTTACCTTATGAAATGTGCACTTTTGATTCTATAAATTTGATGTGTTTATTTTTACTTGCAAAATATTAGCCATATTAATTATAATTGTTATTGTCATACATGAACTTCACAATTTTTAATATAGATTTAGAATGCTGTATAGTTTATTTACAAATCCAACTTTGACCTTGATTTTTGACACTGCAAGGTCATTTTAACCTTTCTGTGTGCAACTATGATTATTTGTATTCAATAATATTATACATGATATAACAATAGTTAAAGAAAAACATTTTTTTAAATATCCTGCTTAAGATACAAAATAAGAGGTTGACCTTTGACCTAATGACACTGAAAGGTCATTTGGCAATCAAATGTGTGATTTTGATTTCTTAAGTTCATGTTTTATATTTATTATCATTTATGCAAAATGTTTAGAAAATTAATTATGAATGCAGAACTGAGTTTGTAATACTGCATAAACCTCTTACAAATAAAAATTTGACCCTGACCTTTGACACTGCCAGGTCATCTGAACCTTTTTTTTGCAATTATGAGCATTTGTAATAAATATGATATTTACATGTAAATATTTATAGTAAACCATTGCATTTTTATGCAAATATCCTGCTGAGTATCCCAAATAAGAGGTTGACCTTTGACCTAATATCACCGAGACGTCATTTCGCAAATCAAATGTTTGATTCGGATTCTTTGGGGTCATGTTTATATTTGTACCTAATACATTTATATGCTCAATATGTAATGGTTAAGGAGAAAATTAGCTGCAAATTTTCCAAATAGCGGCCATTTTGAATTTATGCAAATTAGGTAATTTATTATTGGCCGATCAAGGTAGATTTTGGATATGCTAATTGTTACAGGCAAAAGAACATATTTCAGCAATAAATCAAACTTTTGCAATTTGTTTCACTCAATGCCTATTTTACATCTATTTCTACCTGTCTAATGCTCAAACAGCAAGTCGCTTCTTGAAAATGGCAACACTCTTCAACGTCTTAATATCATGAGGAAGAGCGTTCCATAAACGAGATGCCGCACATGAAAATGAACGTTTCCCAAATGACTCCAATTTGTATCTTGGAACATTAAGTAAAATTTTGGTAGAAAAAAGTGTGAGAGATGAAGAACGGTATTCCAAAATGTGTCTGATATAAGATGGTGATGTGCCATGTAATGCTTTATTTCTGGATGATACTGGCAATCAGTGCAGTTTTCTTAATACTGCTGAGATATGTTTGTATTCCCTAGTGCAAGACACAATTCTCGCAGCCGTATTTTGAACTCGTTGCAATGGATGAATATGTAACTTTGGGAGACCATACAATAGTGTATATGTTGTATAATATAAAATATACAACGATTGAGGGCAGGCAATCGCATTTTTGCTTTATGAAGCATTCCCATGATACATCCTTTCATCCTTTTGGTTTGGTCCCAGTTCAAAACCGGACCTGCTGCGAATAACGACATTTAATGTCATTCACACTTTAACATTGGGTCTATGCATGTTGAACTATACTTTTCATGCTAAGCTTTCTTTCCTCTCGAAAGCAGATCGTTCTCTGTTCAATGCAGGAACAGCTACCGATACTTTCGACAATCTGTTTCACAAATCCCACTCAGATTCAGAGTAAAGCCTACATTTCACTTTTAACGAAATGCTTTATAGGCCAGTTTAATTTTTAAGTTCAGGAATTCTCTGTTTAATATAGGATCCACCACGAATATCTGAAGATCTCTGATTATCGACTTACCACATAGCAGTGCTGTTTCCTCTCAACTTGCTTTCAGTTCAAACTGAAGTAGGTGTTCACGAATCGTGGCATTGTACGTTAACGGTCAGTCAATATCTTATTTCATATTTATTTCATTAAACTACCGCATTTTCCAGATTAATGGTAATGGTAATGGTTGGAGACTTATATAGCGCATAACACTCGATTACTCGTTCCTCGTTTTCATTTCTCTCCTCTTCCTCCTTCCTTATGGGCTGCCGTATAGGACTTGCCGGAGTCGCTAGTCCTATACTATGGCCCACTTTCAATGGCATCCCATAAGTTAAGCAATGTTTCCATACATATCAGTAAAGTATCTATGCCCTTTTTGTAAGGTTCAGAGCAATCGAGTTTTCAAACCCAAGGTTAAGATTAGTCTCTGTCTTTTATTTATGTACCATGGCGCACGCAAGCAAAAACACAACGATTGAGGGCAGGCAATCGCATTTTGCTTGGGAAGCAATCCCACGACACATCGTTTCATCCATTTGGTTTGGTTCCACAATTGAGGCAACAACTTACTCAAAGGTATTTTTTACTAACTATCACAATATCATCTCCATCAACGGTTACCATACTTTGCGATTCCCTGCTCTCCCTCCCTTATCTGGGTACATGTGGCCTACTTTCAGTTAAGCACATGTTTCCATACAAATCACTAAAGGGCGTTATCTGTGTCCTTTTTGTAAGGTTCAGAGCAATCGAGTTTTTAATTAAAATAATACCCAAATAATACCCAAAATTAAGATTAGTCTGTCTTTCATATGTATCATGGCGTACGCAAGCCAAAATATCTGTATCGTGCTCATGGTATGTATAGTATTCACTTTACAAACACAAAGACTGTAGTGATGATGAAGCATAAACATAAAACACAATGATATTAAATACAACTTAACAGTTAAGTTGAAGCTAATGGTGGAATCAAAATATTAAAATAGTTAAAAATTTCAGTAAGTGTCAATATTCAGTATTGGATTGTACAAGCAGGTATATGAAATACATTTCTAATAAATCCATCCATAGCATGTCTGCGTCTTCAATTTATCACTTTGTATTTTGATAGGAATTTGTATGCACTCACCTTGTTCACAATTCGTTCCCGAAAATCCATATACACAGGTACAGGTGTAAGATACATAGTAATTCGTGCAAACTCCATTGTTTTGACATGGATTACTACTACAAACATTCGGAACTGAAACAAAAATATAAATATAGCTTTTCAACTGAAAGACTGGTTTAACAAAACTTAAAATGAATAATTGTTTCAATGAAAAAAATGTAAACACTGATTTTAAAAAAATGTAGAAAGTAAAGCCCATATAAGCACTATAGTAATACTGAGATGTATTAGTTGTTTTATTATATGCATACCAATTTTACCCTACTCAAGCATTCCATTGATACCAAAAATTGAAACATACAAGTTAAAATATATAAGAACAATAATATGCTACAATAAAAAATATATGAAGCCCTTGAAAATATAACAAAATACATATAACAGGTCTCAACATTAACAATGAATTAAACACTCCTTACCATAAACCAAGAATATAAACAATATTTCCGAAGAATAATTTAAAACTTAAATCAATTTAAAATAACCTGGAAGCTGTTTCATAATCTAAAGGATGGGATAATTATGCAATTCAAAAAGAATTATAAGGTTAATAATGCAAAAATTAAATAATAATAATAATAATGCAAGAATTAAAGGTTAATAATGCAAATAACCTTTAAAAGAAAACAAACGAAACATGGCCAGAATGAGGTAAAATGAAATACAAAATAACCACTGGAAGTCTTTTTGTGTGATTTGTACGGTACCTATCTCACAAATAACACCGGTATATCCTGCAGCACACAGACATTGAAACGAAGTGACCTGGTTGATACATGTAGCCCCATTACGACAGGGACTACTCACGCAGGGATTAGGCACTAAGAATGTAAAACCACACGTTTATATATTAAGATATACACATTTCAGCTACTCTAATGCAAACTATTGTTAAGACTTATTATAAAAATAGTAATAATAGCTTAATGATTAGTAGTAGTACTTTTGTTCGACAGTCCATTAGACTGTCGAATTTGATTGTATGTTTGTCAATAGGGAAACCGTAGGTGCGATATTGTGCTAATCTTTGCTACATTAAGTACTGGTTTAATTTCAACGTCATATTTGCTTTTATACAACCTCTCACCTGGTATGGAAATTGTTTTATGAAATAATATTACAACTATATATTTTCCACTATTGTATTTATGTCAGCGAATTGGTACCCGACGTCTGTACTAACCTATCTCACAGTTGGTTCCGCTCCAGCCTATCAAGCAAGTACAAGTGTAGTACGTATAGAAGTTGTTGCATTTTCCAGCGTTTTGGCAGGGATTGCTCAAGCATGGATCTTGCACTAGGATTCATATAAGAATAATTAATGATTAATAGATTGAATTAGTTCAGATACATTACACTGTGATACCTTTGAGTTTTTCAAATGTATTGATTAAACACTCATTTGCTATTTCTCACGAAAGCTACTTTTGTAAGAACAAGCACCTACACTATCAATAGAGATTATAAGAATTTTTTTAGAACAACGTATATTTACATATTTTTATTTATTAACAATTCGACAGAAAAAAAAAGTGTCGAAGAGAAACCGAGGGTCAAGGGTTCAACAAAACGTGGATACCTTTTGAAAAAAATACAGTTAAATATAAATAGCCATTAATATAACATAAGATCAACAAATCAATCAATCAATTAATCATATATACACACATATGATATATAAGTCGTTATTGACTATTGTGATGTTATTGACTATTGTGATGGTGACCAATCGTTTTTAAAAAAACAAATCATTTAAAAAAAAGAGGTGAATGAAGTATGGAAAAGAACAAACGAACAAGACATACGAACGAACTAATAAACCTTTAATCGAATTAATTAATCATGACAAATATATAACAAGCCTAAAAAGTTAGCTTTATCAACGTCGGGATGTCATGACGTAATATTATTTACCTATTTCACAACTGGTTCCAGTGAAGCCCGCCTGGCAGATACACACATAAAAAGTTACGGAACTGAAGCAATCGCCGCCATTTTGGCACGGATTGGAACTGCAAGGATTTGCCTCTGTGAATGCATATCATATAACAATGATACAATAAATACAACAAAAATTGAGATCATAATAAATATTTAAAATACAAAAAGAATAGATTAAAAAAAAGAATTACATTGTACTTAACAATTACAATTGAACTACCGGGAAAATATTTTTATTCACAACAAATATTTAAATTTATTTATGAATGCTAACGGAAATAAACTAAGCGACAATTGGGAAAAATAAACACTAAAAAACTCTATTGTCAATAATAAACAAGAATGAATTTAGCAATACGGTACCGTTTTCACATCTTACACCAGAGTATCCTTCTCTACAGTTACATTCATACGAGGTAATATAATTGATGCAATCACCACCATTTAAACACGGCATCACATTGCATGGGTTAACAACGGTATTTTCTGCAAATGAAACACAATAATGTGAAGTGCTTAGAGGCTTTGTTAAGGCATTAAGCGCTATATAAAAACGACATATTATTATTAATTACTGTATTATGGAAATTATGAAACGTCTGATACCTGTAAAGTATATGCAAAAAAAAGTATAAACGTATTTCTTCAGCGCATCGTTTATGAGCTCTTTTTTTTTTAAATTAAGTTTTATACTTACTTGCACATATCAACAAATTTAGAAAAAATAATCTTTTTTTCTTGTTGTGAAGTTAAAAGATGTATAACCATGCAATAAAAAATAATTAGTTTGAACAATAAAAACATCAAATATATCAATGATAATATAGACAAATAAATAATACATACTAAGACGTTTATTGAATGGTGTAATAAGAAAATAAATAAATGTGTTTATAATCGATTTATCTTTAGTTTTAATTTGAGACAACTATACAATTCTATTTTTTTAAATTTATTTATTCTGGTTTTTTATTAAAACATTTTGATTTTGCAGCACAGGCTGAATTGCATCAAAATTTACATGGTTAAAACAATACAAAGGGAAACAGAAATGCAAAAAAGATTAAAAACAATTAAAACGCAACATCAATTAAGTTGGAAACTCACTTAGTTTACAATTTTGTATCATTAATTACATTTGAGTTGAACAAGTTAATTATATAATGAATGGTTGACTTGAGTGGCAAGTCTGCGATTTACTGAGAATAAGTGATTAATGTTCTGAAGGGCATTCCTTCCGAATTTACAAACAAGTGAATGACGACGAGAATCAAGTCTGTCCAATTTAAGTGTCTCTAGGGCAGTGGTCTAGGAAGTTTAAAGCTGATTAAGAATCATTCTACAGGCACATTTTTGTACTCTTTCAATTTCAGCTGATTGGGTTGGAGTTAAGGAAGAATGCCAAACAGGGCATGCGTATTCAACTATTATAGAGCGTACATATAATCAATAAATGTTAACAAGCTCGGGTAAGGGAGATCGAAATTATCTTTAAATGACCGAGCATGAATAGTGTACGACTAGCTCTTGAAACCATTTCTTCTACATGCGTGACCCATTTAAGATCATTTTGCAAGGTCACACCTAGCAGCTTCAGTTTAGAAACTGTTTCTAGCTCAGAATTATAAATGTTTATAGGTTGAAAAATAGGCACTGTTTTACTGAATGCAAAATTCATAGTTTTGCATTTACTAGGTTAAGTTTCATGTTGTTTTAACATTACTCCAGTCAACAATTTGATCAACATGGGTTTGCAGGTTATCATTAACACTTAAAACGGACACTCCAGCAATAGTCAAATCATCCACGATTATAATTTTCCAGTGAATAGAAGTTTATACAAATCACAATAAATAATATATCGCATATAACACTTGCGTAAATTAAGTGGGTCTAGTAACCTACCAACGTCGCATAGTGTTCCACTGTACCCAGGTGCACATATACAGGTGTATCCATTAGGTTCAGGTGAACATGTTGCCGTCTCGTGACATAGGTTCATTGTACAACGATCTGGGGGTGCTTACAAATTAGGAAAATCAAGTATTACAAGATGCATTGAAATGTTCTAGTTTGGGAGAGATAACAAGTATAGTAGTAAACGATTTAAAAATGGAAAAGCGGAAATTCAATAATAGTATTTTTCTATTATTGTCTCTTATTTTGCCCGAAGCTGACAAGTTCGTGTTCTAAAACTGGCCAATTCATGGAATTGGTAAAGATAGTTACGACTATTGCTTATAATGTACCCGCTTTAAAAATTATTGTTTGAATCCCATGCATCGGTTTTCTCCAATATGATTCTAGGGTTCATTAGGTTGCTGGTTCTACAATCACAAATCACACTATAATGTTTCACATGTGATATAAAAGAGCTATCTATTAAGAGCAGTATAAATTAATGTTTGACGTAAAAAGCATCATCTGTATTATTATTTCATTTTAGCACAAAATACTAACTATGTTTCTGTTGATATTGTTTTATTTCCCTAAAGGACAAAATATACATTATATCTACTTTCAGTCAAATAATTTACGGGCAATTAAAAACAATTAACTTATAACCATCTTGGTATGAATGGCCAAGTATATATATTCAATATCGGTTGCAAATTCAATGCAATTAACCATGTTACTGAACGAAAATGAATGAATAAATCTGTTAACACGATTAATGAAAACATATCTAATGATCGAAAGCCAAGGATTTACACAATTTACATACCGATTTCACAGTTAGGTCCTGAATAGCCTTCTGGGCATAAGCAAATGTAACTTGTTCCTGATAAATTACAAGTGCCACCGTTTAAGCAAGGTGATGGGTCACAAGTAGAAGGTGGTCCTAATGAAGTAAATAATCAGTTGCAATTAATTGTTGTATATATTTGAATAATTATAGCTACCAATTAATCAGTTGCAGTTAATGGTTGCATATTTAAATAACCAGCAAACAATTCGACATTATAAAAACGTTGCAGTTTGGTATTTGAAACAGAGTTGTTTTTTTTCCCTATTTTTTATTGTAAAACCATAAATACGTATTTATAACGTAATTTCTCACTAAAATATCAATTTAAACCTTGCTGCAAGTTGTGTCAACGTTATTTTGTGATATAACCTAACCACAAAGTTGTGTTTGTTGATATTTCTTTATGACGTCATGCACATAATGAATAGTGAAAAAAGCATGCACAAATCAAATACCGGTAGCACTTTTAAGTAAGAGTAGAGACAACAAGATATTGCAAAATCTAAAATCCCGAAAAAAAAATTCCAAAAAGACTAATTAAGTTATCAACTTAAAACTAAAGACTTTTTGAAAAAATAATGTTTGCTGATTTACTACAAAACTACAAAAACAAAAATGAGACTTTGTTAAATATAATGCTTGCAACTGTTAATTGGTAAAGACAATATTTTTCTTTCATCTTTTCAATTGAAATGTAATTTCATTTTATGTGTTTAATATCTTTACACATTGTATATATAAGAGCTGAAATAACATATTATTTGATATTATGTATACAAAAAAACTTGCGAGGACGAATAAGATAAGATATAAAAAAATTAAAAGAAATTAGAAAATTTAATATAACACAGATGTGCTAAATACTAGATCACATTTCTCTGTTGAAAGGCTTGTGCATAACCAGTTTCTAAGCCAAAAAATTAAAAAAATTAAAGAGAACACATACTGACACTAGGCGAAGTACTTACTGAGAGAGGGATCTATGACTGTAGTTTGGGTCGTGATAGTAAAAGGAGATGTAGGTGTCGAACCTTAAGAGTGGATGAATTTTACAACAGTGATAACAATACAAATATAGATAAGAAGTTTAATAAGTGTGAATGGCCTCCTCTAGGCAGTATTGTTGATTGTCATTAACATTATCATCAGTGCTAAATGCAGTAGATGGGAAGGATGAATATGATAAAGTACTAACAGTTTTTGGTTCTATTCAAATTGGGAAAATTACTATCATGTTTCAATCATTAGCAAAGGAGCAGGAGGTTTTTAATCCAGGTGTTTTTATACACACAGTCCATACGCATTAAATGTATAAAATCATTATTACTAAGCATATAAGTACGAAGTAATGTTAATGACAATCATCAATAAGCATTTAAATCTTTGATGTGCATATATGATATGACATGCCTGTTTGACAGTATTGTCCATCATAACCGAAAGGGCAGACGCATCGTGGCGTGTTACCCTCCACAGTGCAAAGGCCGCCATTTTGACAAAAAACGTTATCACATGGATTTGGAGATGCAGTGGCAGCAGTAGAAATGTCAGTGTCAGTAGTGCTACCTGCAGTAATAGATTAACGCATTAATATAAACTTGAGGTCATCATTTTAAATCTAAATTAATTACTAGGCTTATGAAAATAGGTCTATACTTCATTACTAATTATTTACGCCAATGTAAATTATATATACTGTAAGCTTAATGAAAAAGGTATGCTTTTTGATCCTATTCTATTGATACTCTTTATACTGGGCTTAATTTTATCATCATAATTACATAAGTCACAAGTATACAGACATCATAATAAACTGATATTGCCTTTAAACCTTTGAACTCAAATAAAATTATCACATCAGTTATTAAACTATATTTTCTACCCTTTGTGATGGCGGCATTATAACTTACTCTGTTGAGTATCACACAAAAATCCCGTGAATCCATCTGGACAGATGCATCCATAAAAGTTGCCGGATGACGTGCATACACCACCGTTCAAGCAAGGATTCTGAGCGCAAGGATCCATAACTAATAATAAATTATTATTTTATTTTATAGAAATGTAATAATAAAAAAATGTTTAAATTATATATATACATATATATATAAATCAAAGAAAGGTAAATGCAGTGTTTGAATAAAGGATATAATAACACATCGTGTAGCATAGCTCTCAACGAATGAAGTCGTATACAAAACAAAGAAATTGTTTAATAAAATTCCTCCCACGGGATTTGAACCCGCGACCTCTCGCTATCAAGACGAGCGTCATAACCATTAGACCACAGAGGCTTCATGGTTGAACAGATTCAAATACCGCCAGATACACTCTATTACACAATAGGTACGGCTAGAAACAAATAATTACATTTGTTGAGAGCTATTTCAATTCAATTCACTTTATTGCTTCATAAGCCATCGAGGGCTACTATCCGCTTAAACTATACATATATAGGCCTACACATAAATACATTGAAAAGAAAGACACTCATGTCCTATATTCAAACACTGTATTTACCATGCTGCATTTTTGGCCATTTACAGAACTGGTCCATGGCACCCGACTTTTTGAAAAAAAAAAAACCCGGGTTATAAATCCTGCTGGTTTGTTGAATAGCGATGGGTTCTTAAATTATTTATTGCCACTGAAGCCCATGAGATGAAGTGAGTGATTGTAATGGGTTTCTTGTTTACATTCCAATGACTATATGTTGCTGGCCAGGACTCTCTTGTTAACTCCCAATGGAAATTCTTAGAACCAATTAAGTTAAGTTTATGGAGCTGCTGACAGCTCCCTCTGGACCATTTGACAGCTCACTCTCAACCATCAGACAGCTCACTATGAACCATTTCTGCTAACGGGGACTTTTGCCTCATGCCTTTCTTTGATGATTTATATATAATTTAACAGTGTTAACGGCAATCTTTTATTTATTATTATATGCAATTTGATGATTTATATATAATTTAACAGTGTTGAATCTTTATATATA